CAGTGCTGAGAGGAGCTAAAGGTCACTGTGCTTCAAATGGAAGCTCATCGTCTCAAAGGGATAACCAGCAAAAATGTTTCAGGATGCTAATCCTGAGCTAAAATGTTAAATCAACTGAATAAAACAATAAAGAAAGGAAAGTGTAAAACTCACAGCCATTATTTACATTAATTTTTTTCATTATCTTGTGATATTTTAATTGTACTATTTGTAAAAGCAGACAGAAGTTCACTAAAACACACCAGGCCAATAGTGCAAAAGGGCCACAAATACTAAATATCTACATCTCAGAGAAATACCAAAAAATATACAAATGAGAAAACAAAAGTTTTTAACTCATTAACACCTAAAGTTAATAAATTTTTTGTTTTAAATGTTGCCCAGGCCAGTGTGGCTCAGTGGTTGGGCATAGTCCCGTGCACCAAAAGGTTGCTGGTTCGATTCCCGGTAGGGCACATGCCCAGGTTACAGCTCAGTCCCAACAGGATGCATGCAGGAGGCAGCAGATGAATGTTTCTCTCTCACATAGATATTCTCTCTCTCCTTCTCCCTTCCTCTTTCTCTAAAAATCAATAAAAGTTCTGTGTTTGGTTTGGATCAGCAGTTAGAGCGTAGGCCAGCAGACCAAAGAGTCATGGGATCAATTCTGGTCAAGGACACATACCTCGGTTGCAGTTGTCATGGTCAGGGTTGTGTGGGAGGCAGCCAGTCAATGTGTCTCTCTTCTCTCTCCCTCCCACTCTGTCTGAAGATAAATGGAAAAAATATCCTCAGGTGAGGATTTAAAAAATAAATAAAAATATTTTTAAAAATAAGAAATATGTTGATTAAATATTTTTATAGAACAATCTTACACCTAACATTACTGTAACAACACATTGTTGCTATAAAAATTTCAAAACTTACGCCACTAAACTTATCTCATTATCTATTACTAAATCTCTCTAAACCTAATAATTAATTTTGGAAAATGGGGTTTTCCAACTTCCCTGGTACCATTATTGTGACCGAAACTCAAATTATCATTAATAACTGCTAAATGGAATATAGGAAATAATACACTATTTCATTAAGGATCAATAGAACATGATCGTTATTTTAAATAAAAACTATATTAAATTATCCTTGCTTTTTAAATGGGGATTCTAGTTAATTAATTCAGGTATGTTATTGTAGAACAGTGATTTTCAACTCGTGTGCCACAAAAATTTTTAAAACATGCAATACCTGGCTACTTAGTCAGGGGCACTGACCTCTTTTCCCTTAAAATGTCAAATTAAACAATGACAACAGCTAGCACAATAGCCACCCAGTGTGAATGAACAGAAGTATATCTATTTTTTTTTTTTTTGTTGGACTGGCAGAAAATATAACATATTTTTTGGTGTGCCACATAATTTTTGTAGTTTATGTGTGCCATGAGATGAAAAAGGTTGAAAATTGCTGCTGCAGAGAATCTAAAATTTAAGATGCATATTTATTGAAAAAAATAACAAAAAATTAACAAATTTTTTTCTCCAAATACCCAGCTACATTACCCTCTTGATAGACTAAAACAAAACCTACTAGGAGAATGTCTGTTTTCTTTCTTGATCAGCAAAGTTTTTAAGAGTCCCAAAATAATCAAATGGTTTTCACATTACATGTACAATGATGGACATGCAAACTAATTGCCAGACATTAGCTAATATCAATGTAGTACAGAGACTAAAATTTTAATTTACATTGTTTTCTAGATAAACAAAGGATGGTAGGGAGAAGAAAATTAATCTTGATATTCTTCTACTCTGTGACAAAAATTGTGCTATGTGCTATACTTAAGTCAACTCCTTTACATACACACATTAAATGCAAGCATATGGGATTATGATACTACCGTCTTTTAGATTTAGCCCTTGGGAAAGGTTTCTCTTCAATTAAATTATCCACAAAGTAGGTAAAAATGGCAAAGATGTATTAAAATTAAGTCTACTGCCACGGATCCCAGGTAAATGAAAAGTCAATTAGAAAGACTAGAAGGCTGTCAACAATAAAGATAAATTAAAAAAGAAAGACGGACTAGGAGAAGGTACCCTCTTGAAACAAATATATTGATGTTTTAGCTTTTTCTCTTGGGAAATGATCACATTTTACTGGTTATTCACATGCCAAGTAATTTTAGACTGTATTCTGGACACTGTAACTGTTATTGTAAAGACTCTGAGTCCTGTTACAATCCTCTCAAGAATATTGATTTTTGTTGGTTTATTTATTCGAGCAGGCATAAAACCTAGTTAGATTCACACTGCAATTATTTTTTAAAACCGCTTAATTTCCACCAACTTTATTTCCATTTTGTTGAGTTTGTGTAAGAGCAGCCTAAGACCACTCGGTGGGTATCCCTACCCATTCAGTGGCCTGAGCAGTGGGGGCTGCAGACCAGTCTTCGTGTCAGGCTGGGCTCTCCAGTGCTCAACAGGCACAGAGGACACCTAAGCCTTCAGACCAGTCTGAGGACCCAGGTTGAAGAGCAATGAACTCAGGAGCTGGAGCAGTGCATTCACCCCCAAACTCCTCCTTGGTCACAACCTTGTCAGCATCACCGGCTCTTACTTTTCAATCTCCTCAAGATCTCTGTAGAAGCAGTGATTAGACATGACCTTCCACTGGTGTCCACGGGAGATGGTGCCACACATGTGCAGAACTTCCCAGGCCAGAGCATCCACCACATCAGACCTACTGAGTAAGCTTCCTTGTTGTTGCATGGGATGGCAACATCCACATACAGCAGAGGAGAGTGTGGGTCACACATACAGAGAATAGTGGGCAGATCAACATAAAATGTCTCTGAGAGAGGCAGGTGGCTCAGCCCTGGGACCAGTCACCACCAGAAGTCTTGGCTCCCGGAAGGCTGCCTGGACCCGGTCAGGGAAGGTTCCAGGGGTGAAGCAGTGGCTCCACTGGCAGCAGCGAAGTTCAGCGCAGTCTGCTGGCCTCGGGATGACACTGACATCTGCCAAATTTTCAGTGGCAACAATGCAGGAGTTGCCAGCAAAGGCTTCTCCCAGGTGCTCCTCAGATTTATGATGCAGATGTCATCACTTTTCCTTCTGTAGATGTACTGTTCCATTTGGAAGTCAGGGCTGGTGCCACCTAAGTGGGTTCCTGAAGCAAGGATTTGAGGACATCCTCCTCCTTCATTTGCAGGATATCAAGGGCTCTGGACATTGTGCAGTTCCCCTTTAAGTTACAACAGGAACCCAGATCAATGCTCTATAGACCCCACTGTAGGTAGCACAGAACAGCCAGATTGCAATTTCTGTTTCACCTTCCACAGATAGTAATTCCAATGTCAGTTCAGTTCTTAAAGCCTTTGCTACACTGCTCTGGGTCTGGTCCCATGAAACGTGCCATTCGGGGTTAAGCTGAGACTTGGGTCACAGTTTAAAACTTGTTTTCAACAATTTGGGTCTGTGCTGCTCATTCAAAGCTTGGGGTGAGCTTGGGACATATGGAGGCTCATACCCAGGATTAGAGGATCCCCTTTCTCCAGTCCTCTCTTCTCCAGGACTCCCCTCACATTCTCTGTCCCACATGGCTCTATTTATCTGGTTCCTCAGGGTTAACAGAAGTATGTATTATATGTTATATGTTATGTGTTATATGTTATACTCTAATAAGTTGATGAGGCATGAGCTTAGCTGCTGTGACTGGAAAAAACAAAGATATCATTCCTCCTAAAGGTAAGATGAAGGTCAAAAACAGACTATCGTTATATTGGACACACACATACAAACTATCCAAAATCATTATGTTCTGATCTAATTTCCGAAAGTTCAGTTCGACTGACCTAATAATAAAATATAAGAGAGATATAAATAGAGAAAGACATGAAAACAACTAAAGTGATCAAAGCAGCCGTACTGAAGGTAAACTGAAGTGTTTAGAAAGACAAAACTTGAGAAGAACTTCTATGAAATCATGAAAGTTACACAGAGCAGGTTTCAGATACTCTGGATCAACCAAAGCCACAAACATTCAGACTATAAAATATACCTGGAAGCTTAAATTCAGAATAAATAAAATGAACTATTTTACATAACAAAATGTTAAGAGATGGTAAAGACTGAAAAAGCTTAGTAAATAAGCTTCTGATAAATACTTAAATTAAATTGTGATTAACAATCCATATGTGAATTCAGGAAAGTCAATGAAATCTGAAGTATGACTGCAACCTCTTTTGCATCATTAAAAACAATAGCATCTATCTACACGACTCATCCCATTAGTGGCTGAACCACAGATATTACTTAACATAGCTTTCCTTACACATAGCCTTATTCTTACTGTGTATTTTAAAACTTTAGGAGTCTTATATACAAATATTGGTCAGAAGCTAATAAAACAGCAGTAATTCATTTCTTCATAGGATCATGGCAAGTTATCAAATATTTTTAAGACTTTAACTTAATTACTCTAACTCACATAAAAAATGCTACACACCAAATGCAATAATACCTACAAAACTTATTTTTAGGTTTATAGAAAGTCTTATAAATATAAATTTCAATTAGTAAATAATCTGAAACATAGTCAATGTCTTATTTGATAATCATTTTTAATTCTTTTTCCCCCCATCTTTAATGGGGGTACAATTCACAAGTAAGACTGTAAGATATTTAAAGTGTACAAAATGATGCCCTGGCTGGTTTGGCTCAGTGGTACAGTGTCAACCCTCAGACCCATGAGCCGCAAGTTCGATTCCAGCCAAGGGCACATACCTCAGTTGCAGTTCGTCCCTGGCCCTGGTTGGAGTCATGCAGGAGGCAGCCAACTGATGTGTCCCTCTCATTGATGTTTCTCTCTCTCTCTCATCTCCCTTTCTCTCCCTCTCTCTGCCTCCCAGTCTGTCTGAAGATAAACTGAAAAATATCCTCAAGTGAGGATTAAAAAAAAGAAAGTCAGTAGGAAATACATGTCCATATAGAAAAAAAAGAATAAAAAATAGCAAATATACATACTCCTTTTGGAAAGCCATACACAGTGGAGAACTAAATCCAAAGACAAGGCACATCTGGGCATCGGGGCTATAGCCATGCTGGAGTAACATTTCTAGGCAGTCTTCATGCCCTCCAAACACTGCTGAGTAAACAGGGCTCACTTTGTCTAGCCCAGTGTCACAGACCCGGTTAGTAAGTGGTATTAGCAAGTCCAAGATTCTGCAAGTACACAAACACAGAAGTATTTAATGTTTTTATATGCACATAAGTATAGATAACATTTCTACAGTATGCATTTTAAGTGTCACCCATTGATTTATTTAATGAAAGTCTGGTCGTGGCCAGTTTGGCTCAGCAGTTAGAGCGTCGGCCCGCGGACCAATGAGTTGCGGGTTCGATTCCAGTCAAGGGCATGTACCTCCACTGCAGTTCTTCCCTGGCCCCCTGGTCAGGGTTCTGCAGGAGGCAACCAGTCAATGTGTCCCTCTCACGTTAATGTTTCTCTCTCTTTCCCTCTCTGATAAATAGAAAAATATCCTCAGGTGAGGATGTTTTTTAAAAATTGGTTGAGCCCTGGCCAGTTTTGCTCAGCGGTTAGAGCATTGGCCTGCGGTACAGAGAGACCTGGGTTCGGTTCTCGCTAGGGGCGCATACCTTGGTTGCAGTTTGTCCTTGGCCCTGGTTGGTCGTGTGGGTGGCGGCCACTCGATGTGTCCCTTTTGCGTTGATGTTTCTCTCTTTCTCTTCTTCTCTCTCCCTCCCACTCTGTCTGAACAAAAAATGGAAAAATGTCCTCGGGTGAGGATAAAAAAAAAAAAGGTTGATAAGCAGAAAAAGTTCTAAAGGAGAGCATTAAAACAGAAGTTCTTAGACTATTCGTACCTCCAACCAGTCAGCTGGAGAGAAAGGACTAATATATTTCTCTAAAATTAAAAACAAAACTAGAGATAATGAAAGCTAGTAGATACTCCCTTTTTCTGGGAAAAGAAAGGCAGGGCTACTCCAAAGTACATCCTCTCTCTCTGATACTTATGTAAAATAGGCCTGAGATGATAATAGTATTGAAGAACTTACAGACATAGAACTTACCTTAGAGGCAGTCTATAGAAAAAGTCCTCAGTCACAAAGAGAATTAACAAAATTGAGAATAAATGAGGACAAATTCCCAAGAGGGTTTTGCTATCAATTTAAAGCTCAGAATGTGATCATACTTAAGATTTATATTTAAATAATCAAAAATCTTAAAAAATACCAAATTTTAAAACCTAAATATTATGTTAAAATAAGGAATTTGTTACATATCTTAAAACTTAATAAATGTGTTTAATTTTTTTTAATGGTTGGAAAAACACTCAAGACACAAACGTGCTTACAAATATCTTTAAGGAAATTGTAAAATACCATGCCACCTAGTGGCGTAATAACCAAATTGCAGAATCTGTTTTCTGACTATGCAAACATACTAACAACTTCACTAACATTTTTTTAATTAAATAATACCAACAATAGCTAAAAAATTATAATGGCAGAATTATGAGTCAAAGACTTTAAGCACATATTTAAAAATCTCATTCAATGCCAATTTATGCTAATATAAGCTGCCGTATAATCAGATTATTAGCTTCCAAGATTCCTGGAACCCTCAATTTCAGGGAGTTCCAACCATCTTTTAGTCCCTCTCTCTCTCCAGAAAATGCCCCAAATTTCATGAGAACTTTGGCTAATAATATGAGTAATATAAGCAGGGAGAAGTACTAGTTTGGACTTGAGATTAGATGAATAGAAGTCTAAGCAAAGGGTTCAAGATGGGAGAACTGCCCAGAACACACAAAAACTAGACTCCAATAGGGGCCACAAACTCAAAAATTATCTGGGATCAGGGAGATAAGGTAAATGAGTTAAATAAGGTCATCATACAGCTAACTAAAGATGCCTGAGATAAAACTGGAGAAAAGCGGAAGAGTATGGCCACAGCTTGAGAAATCAAGTGCAGACAGCACCCTGAGAAAGCCCCCAGGATTGTCCCATTTCCAGCCACCGTGCCTGGGCCTTACACTAGGAAAGTGCAGGGATAAGAGGAGCTGGGGATGGCGGGGAGAACGGATGTGGGGGTGGATCTAGCCATTTAGCAGTTTGGTAGAGAAGAGAATAGTGAGGATTTTGTCTGGAGGTAATGGGTCTGGCCCAGAAGGCTCATTCTTTATTACCTTTTAATTATGAGACCATTTTTATTTTCCATTTTTAACACTTACTCTGTATGGCCCATTTGTGCAGCTGCATGAATAGGTAACTGCCAATTGTCCTCATTACAGTAGAGATTAGGATCTGCCCCACTGGACAGCAGAAGCTCCACACATTCTGTGTGGCCCTCTTGAGCAGCAATGAACAAGGGAGTCGCTTTGTCCAAGGCTTGACAATTGACATTTGCACCTAATACAAAATAAAACATTTAAAAGATAATCCTTATTTATGGGATTTTAAAAAAATGATACTGAACATAAATTTAAAAGCAACTTCCCTATAAGGATTTCACAGAACAGAATACCTTTGAACAATACAGGTTTGAATTTCATGGGTTCAATTATATGTGGATTTTTTTTCCACCTTGTAAACAGATGATGTAAAGTTACGATATCAATAAATACAATATAGTATATGGTCAATGCATTTTCTCTTTTGATTTTCTTAATAACATTTTCTTTCTCTAGCTTAGTTTATTGTAAGAATACAATATATAATATGTAAAACAAAAAATGTTTTAATCGACTGTTAATATTATCAGTAAGGCTGTCGGCCAGCAGTAGGCTATTAGTAGTCAAGTTTCATGGGAGTCAAAGTTATACGCAGATTTTCAACTATGGGTGGAGGGGGGTTGTTAGAGCCCCTGATCCTCATATTGTTCAAGGGCCAACTGTACAATAGTTTCCTCCCATCAGTGGATATTGTTGTATAAACATTGATTTACCTAACTTGCTGGTAATAATTTAAATTGTTTTGCTTTTATTTTGGCAAGAAAATAAGTTATTAATATTTTAGAATTACTTTGTAAGTTAAAACAAAATTCTTAGTTAACGAAAGATTCATTTCATTACCATCTCTCTTTCAACAAGCACTCTGTGGTTCTAATAAAATAATCATTTAAAAAGATAAAAAGCAAACCATCAAATAAGGTAGCATTTCTGAAAAGTACTAGAAAAAAAACCTAAATTATAAACCTTTGTAGATGCCACCAATCAACTCAGGCTAAGTGTTATGAAAAAAATTACAGTGGAGATGACATACATGAGGGCTATGCCTTAAAACTAATATTGACTATACTAATATTGACTATTACATTTTCTTCATGACCAATGCATGACAGAGCCTCCAATAAAAAGAAAAAGATCTATTTAAATGGGTTTCTGATTTTTAAAAAGCATAAATCTAATCAATTATTTACATACCAGCTATATAAAGATGGTGAAAGTGACCTCAATATTTGTAGAGGTTTTGAAAATAGCAGGCTTCCCCAAACTTTTCTCATTGACTATTAATGTGTTAAATTTGCTAACTATGATGTTATTATATGACAGTGAGGATTTTAAAATTTCTGGAATAGCCCTGGCCGGTTTGGCTCAGAGATTGGAGCATCAGCCTGTGGTCCAGAGAGACCTGGGTTCAGTTTCCGCTAAGGGCACATACCTTGGTTGCAGTTTGTCCCCGGCCCTGGTTGGGTCGTGCAGGAGGCAGCCACTTGATGTGTCCCTTTCACGTCGATGTTTCTCTCTCTCTTCCTCTCTCACCTTCCTACTCTATCTGAACAAAAAGTGGAAAAATGTTCTCGGGTGAGGATAAAAAAATAAAAATTACTGGAATATAGCTCAGTGGGAAAATCATTATTACCAAGGGGAGAAGAACTATTTTTTATTTAAAAGGATGTTCCATAAATATACCTTAATAAACCAAAGCCATGAGATGGGTAAAAACTAGGCAAAATATGAGTTTATGCAAACTTCAGAAATTCCAACTGGACATTGAACATGTCAGACAAGTAGAATCTTAACTTAATAGAAGGTGATGCTTCACCTACTATCAGCCTCAGAAAGGAGTGGACACTATTACTGAGAAAAGACTTCAAAAAAGAAGTTAACTTTCTTTTTTTAAGCAATGTTTCATTTTGAATGACAATTTCAAAGTTTCGGAAAGAATAAGGAACTAGACCCTGTGAGATTACAGGTAGAAAAGTTGGAAAAAAATGACAGACAATTCATTGAAAGTCATTTTAAGGGGTTAGAAACATAGTTACTTTATAAACATACCTGTATACCTTTTCAACTTGCTGTTCATAACTATTCAGAGAGGAGAGAAGAAAAAAAGAAAAGAAAAAGAAAAAGAACAAAGCAAAACACTAGGTACTTAGCATCCCAGGAGAGACTTGGCATGAGGAGAGTCATTAAGGTGCAGTTTAACCTATTTTATTCTAAATCTTAGTTATATACTAATAATTGGAAGTTATGGGACTGGAAGCCATAATATGAATCAGGACAGTCCTCAGGAAGACACAATGTAGAATAAGTAGGAAGATGAATCAGAAGGCCTGTGTCCAAGTCCTGATTCTGCCAAGAAATACTTTCTAGATCTTTGGCAAGACAAACACTCAGGGTCTGGGATTCTTAATCTAAAAACACATGTATAATAAATTATTTTGGAGATTCCCCTCAACTATAAGATTTATAGACTCATCTTAATTTGGCACTTAATAAATGTTTGTTCTGCTTCCCACTTCAACTTGAGTATTTGAAGGTTTGTAAAGAGAAATTACAAATAAGAAAATACATGCTGCCTAAATAAACTTTGTTTTGTATATTTAAAGAGAATTTCATAAAAGCCTAGGTGAAATAGGAAGTATATGAGAAGCACAGGCATTTAAAAAATTTATATTTTAGGTAATTTAATTTTTTTTTTAATTTGCCTGATAGTAAAACTGGTGTATTTCCCTTCTGCTCTTAAAATCCACACTCCAGCAGGCTAGCACTTCTGAGGGCTTATGTGTTTGGAGAAATTTAAAAGCCCTTACATAATAAATGTTTTGGTCACAGAAATGTCATACAGAGTAAGAATGTCACCCCAACACCATCTGACAATGCTGAATGTGTAATGATTGTTAAGGAGAAAGCTTTAACAAGTTTATGTTGCTATCAACATAATAAAGTATAAATATGCTTTGAAATAAATCCATTTAAATAATCATACAATTGATCAAAACATACAACTCAAAGGCTTAATATACAAAATAGCTTCCTAGCAAATTAATTAATCTTAATATAGTCTTCCATCCTAGAATGTTGGAACTGCTCGGGTCCCTATAAGAAAGGACAGCCCATCATTCACCTTCCAATAAACCTGCTTTAGTGATAGATCATTCTGTTCCTCCTCAGATAAATGAGTAGCTGTGCATTGCATTATGTTAGTTATAGACACTTAGTAACCAGGTTTATAAATCAACTTGTATGTACTCTTATTTACCACTAACATAAAATCATAAATTTCACTACCTGATTTATATCTGGGTCAAGAATTCTTCCTAGGAAGATAACCACAGTCAAAGTCATGATCTTAAAAGTGCAAAGGCTAATGGAGTAATCTTACCTGATGAAATGAGTATGCTCAAACTTTCTAGTTTGCCATACTGAGCAGCCACAAATAAAGGTGTGATTCCAAAGTCATCCTGGCATTCCTTGTTTGCTCCTCTTTTAAGAAGCAATTTTATGATCTCAGCATTTTCCTAAAGCAGATTTATATTTTAAAAACAAGAGAAAACAAAGAAAATTGAAGGTATTTCTTTTCTTGTTGTTGTTTGGTTTGGTTTTTCCTCACTAAAGGAAAACCTTTTTTTAAAAGTTGGATGGGAAGAAGTATTAAACAATCAGATTATTCTATACCTTTAGCAAACCCACTAAACACAGATGAACTGATCTCTAGGAATTATAATCATTATAAAATCCTTCAAAAATAGCTTGCTACCCAAACACTAAGGAGTTATCACAGTTTCTAAACACATTGCTATACATAAAATTAGCCATTGCTCCTTATCAATTTATATTCCAAGTATTCTGATAGTCTCTTAACTATGCTATCAACATTTGAAAAACTTAGATAATGCCTGTCACCCAAAGCTGCTGAAACTACTAAAGCAGTTGGTTTATTCAGAATGATCATTAGCATTTAGACTGCCTTTTCTGTACTGCACTAACCATCATAAATCACAGACAAGTAGGAAGCAAAAACTGTATAGAACTGTCATTTTAAAAGGGTAAAACATACAATTTACATGAAGATGAAATAATAAATTCAGAAGTTACCTGAAAAGTAGCCTGGTGTAAGGCATTCCATCCACACATAGAATGGGATCCATTAACATTTGCTCCGTGTCGAAGCAACAGCCTTAACACATCCATCCGTCCATTTTCAACAGCTGCAATATAGCAGTCAAAAAATAAATTATTGTCAGTAGAAAGCCACGTTTGTAGGACTGGACACTTTGGTGATGTTCTCATCACTCATTCACCTTGAACTCACAATGCTGTGATCATTCCTATTAACAAATCAAAACACACACTCTCTACACAAGGCCAAAACATTTATCACGATGTTTTAGCCCAAACCCAGTAATATATACATCCTTTCTGTGTACATACAAATTATTTACAATTGTATTTTAAAAGACAGAGAGAGGAAATGGAAGCAAAAAGTAAACATTTTCTCTGATAACAGAGACATTAAGTTTCTATTTTGTTAAAAAATGCAATGGAGCCCAGCCAGTATGGCTCAGTGGTTGAGCGTCAATGCATGCATCAAGGGTTCAATTCCTGGTCAGGACACAAGCCCAGGTTGTGGGCCAAATCCCCAATGGGGGGCATGCAGGAGGCTGCCAATCGATGTTCTCTCTCATCGATGTTTCTATCTCTCTCTCCCTCTCCCTTCCACTCTCTCTCTAAAAATAAAGGGGAAAAAATGATATTGAGAGGAGAATGGGATAAACAGGTCAAAAGATAGAGTCTCAAAAGGATTAAAAGTTTTCCTATCATTACCGTTGGATCACAAATGACAACTGAAAGAGCAATACTGCAAGTTCTGCATCTTAGATACTTTTTGCCATCATAAACAGCAAACATTGTTAAAATTAAAAATATAGAAAAACTTGCTTATTTGAACTAAAAAGGAACTCGATAACTAAAGAGTGTTGTTAAAGAAATGCGTTTTACTTAACCACAGTAAATGAAACTAATGTCTCCCACTTTGGAAAACAGTATGAAGGTTCATCTGGAAATTAAGAAAAGAGCTATGATATGACACAGCAGCAACCCTCTCCTGGGTATCTACCCCCAAAATTTGAAAACGTTTATTCATAAGAATACATGAACCCCTATGTTCATTGCACCATTATGCACGGTCGCCAAAACAGAAACAACCATGTATCTTTCAATGGATGATTGGATAAAGAGGATGCAGTACATGTACACAATGGAATACTACTCAGCCATAAGAAAGGACGAAATACTGCCATTTGCAGCAACATGGATGGATCTTGAGAGAGTACTGTGCTAATTAAAATAAGTAAGCTGGAAAAGGACAAGAATCATGCTGGCTGTTTTGGCTCAGCAGTTAGAGCATTGGCCCTCAGACTGAAGGGGGGAGCGTATCATGAGGAAGGCAACCAATCAATGTGTCTTACATTGATGCTTCTCTCTCTCCCTCTCTCTTTCTCTCACTCCCTTCCATTCTATCAAAAAATCTATGGAAAATTATTCGCGGATGAGAATAAACAAAAAAAAGAAAAGGACGTGATGAACCATGTGATTTCATTCATATGCAGAATATAAAACAGAAAGCAACAAACAAACAAACTTAGACACAGACAATAGAAGAGTGGTTACCAGAGACGGGCATGAAGAAGGTAAAGGAAACAAAATTTATGGTGATGGAAGGAGACTAGACTTTGGGTGGTAAGCATATAATGCAATATACAGATAATGTATAATTATTGAATTATACACTTGAAACTATGTAATATTACTAACCAATGTCACCCCAATATACTTAGTTTAAAAAATCAAATAAATTAAAAACAAAAAAACTAATGGCTCCCAAGTTGTAGGTAAAGTAAATCCTTTAAAGGAATCATTTGCATGCCTATGGATACCTAAAAATCATGTGCCGTTTTACTAGTTTCACCAAACTATTCTACTTTCTTTTACATATATCTAATTTAACATTAGCACAAGATATGTCTAGTCTAATATCTTGTACAAAAAACAGTTTATAAATCCTACCTCATGAGGGTGAACATAGGTATAATGCTATTAAGTTGATAGAACAAGCCAGGTAAACTCTCCAGATGCTATTTACCACAAAACTTTCTGCTTTGATGGTGACAGTAATCCTAGAAGAGTTAATGGGAAGAAAAACCAATGCCAGAAGAGAGCTATATAACACTTAATAAAATAAGTACACACATACACATGCACCATTAAGTAAATAAGGTATACTGTGAATATTGTAGGTGTGAGGCTACTGCAATGACTTCTTAAAATTCTGACTTTGGGTAAATATCTGCATCTATAAAAGGACAGAGAGCAGAGATGTATATAAAGTCTGACTTCATGTACTTGGTAACACAAAAGAAAAACAAGGAAGATGTTTTATTTCAAGCATACAGTTATTCTGTATCTTCTACTGCAGCAGGAGGCAAGAATCAGCAGCTCTCAGTCACAAACTGGAAAGACACTACACATTTGGAGGAAGGGTCACACCTAAAAAATGCTAAAATAGATGTAACAACAGGAAAATAAAATACTTAAACGTATAAAATAAATAATAAATATACTCATCATTATTGAAGATGGTAACATGCCATTGATACTCTATTAGTTTATATATGGAATTTATAGTAAAGCCTATTTCCCCAAAAAGAATTGTCATAAATTCTTTAATGAAGAATTCTCTTACCCTGGGAGGTTCCAGAAACTTAACCACCATGGCTGAGATAGTACCACTGTAGAAGTAGTTTAATAAATCGTATTTCTAAGTTAACATTCAAGGGCATTTTACTAGGGAAAAAACAACAGTTTTCAAACTGTTATTTTTCTATAATCAATCTAAAGTCAATCTAATTTTGGATGGAGGTCATAATAGAAAAGGAAGAAAATCTGTTTTATATCCAATTCACACATCATTATCAGTGATTGCTGGCAAAAATCATTCTATAGCTAAATCCTGAGTTAAAGATTATCAGGTTGTCAGTGGTGATATATGAAGCAGAGTGAAGATAAGTTTGTTTTTCATGAGTTAGGCTGACCTTATAAAAGTGAAAGTTGAAAAAATTTGTTTTGATTATTAAGTACACTACAGAAGTCAGAGATAAAATACATTAATACTGAAACCAATGCATGAACAGATAAATAACATTTTATAGGTCTTGCAAATTATTTCAAAATAATGCAAACTTAATTAATGGTAATAATTTAAAAATAATGTTTTATAATAGTGCATTTAGAGCTTACATCTACTACCAAAGCCTCTCCTTTGGAAAATGTGGATTAGCCTTCTTTGTCCTTACATGACAATTCACCACACTGAAGGGAAAAGGAAGAACCATACTAAAACAATGTATGTTATACATCAATAAAAGTTTATCAAAAAGAAAATACAGCCCTGGCCGGTTTGGCTCAGCGGTTAGAGCGTCAGCCTGCGGTCCTGAGAGACACGGGTTCGGTTCCCGCTAAGGGCACGTACCTCGGTTGCGGTTTGTCCCCGGCCCTGGTTGGTCGTGCGGGTGGCAGCCACTCGATGTGTCCCTTTCACATCGATGTTTCTCTCTCTCTCTTCCTCTCTCTCCCTCCCACTCTACCTGAACAAAACAAAAAAAAAATACAGACCCAAGCTTCCTATTTGTTAGCTACCTAATCTACTAAGAAGTATACTCCTTGAGGAAAGAAACTGTCTCTCATCCCCCTTATATGCCCAGAGCCAATCACAGAGAGAACATAGGCAATAAATAATCATTGGATGAATAAAAAAAAAAATGTCTGGAAGAAAATAAGATTGTTTTCTTTTTAAAAATGCATTCCCTCTCCACACTGAATAGGTTTTGGAATTACAATGTGGGATATAACAATATAACTGGTACTAAATTAGCTATCCCACCATACATTATCGTAAGAGTGGACAAAACATAGAGACAACTTTTTCTGGCATTGAACAATATGCATAGACTGATTCCTGAGAGAAGGAAAACACATAAAGTGAGCCCTATGATCACCTCAGCTCTGCCTGAGGACATTTCTTGATCGTGGTGTAGTGAGCTAAAGTCTAAGCAAAGCAAGGGCAAGGCTGAGGTAAGAGTACTTCAAGCAGAGGAAGTAGTCCAAGTAGAGTGCAGCAGTCCACTGAGCTAAGGAGGCAGAAATTAGAGTTTAAATGGTTGAAATCCGTGGAGCAAGACCCAAGAGAAAAGAGAATTATGTAGAGGGGGGCCCCAATGTGGCAGTTCTCCAAAATTCCTTGACTGTGATCCGGACTGCACACATGTAAAGCAAGATGAAAGCCTACAAGAGAACTGCTAATGGGTTCAGAATTAAACAGAGGGAACTAGAGATCCAACAGTGCTGAGAAGCACTGGCACTCCTAGAAGCTCCGTCTAGGTCTTCTCTGAAACCATAGGACCTCACTAACACCTTGGGCATCCAGCTGAGACACCCAAAAGGCAGAGCCCTAGGAGTAAGGATCACATCTGAGAGTAAGGCCAACTCTGGGTCTGCTCTAACTAAGCCTAAAAGAAGCCCTGACAACAAGATCAGGAAGGAGGCAGAGGTTGGGAGTTGAGTTACACCAAGCTTAATTGGCTTGGAAAGCACCTTATGCTCTCCACAGATCTAGTCTAACAAAGTATAAAACCAAACCTAAAACAAGTTCAAGGTGATAAGCCAGTATATGACCTACCTATTAAGAAAACAAAAATCTGCATTTCTCGGAGGAAGATAACAGAATTCTAGTCTCTGTAACATACTAGCCACAATATCTAGTATACAAGCCAGAAAGTAGTCAACAGCAACTGACCCCAAGATGGCCCACATATTGGATTTAACAGATTAACTAAAGTAGCTATTTAAATATGCTTTAAAATATTTTTTAAAATATGTTTAAATATTTTGTTTTTAATATACATATGGTATACAGGATAGGTAAACATAGAGAATTTCGAGAGAAATTAAGCTTTCTTTTTTAAAGAACCAAATGAAAATTCTAGAACTGAACAATTAAACATGAAATGATGGTAGAAGAGTCAGTGAACTTAAAAACATCAATATAAATCTTCCAATCTAAAGAACTGAGAGGAAAAAAGTCTGAAGGAAGAAATCTACTGTTCAGGTCTAATGGGACAACATCAAAGAGTCTAACATACATGCAATCCAA